GGCCTGCGGTGGAGCCATCTGTGGGGCCACGAGGGGTGCGCCCAAATGGCGCGGGCTAGCCATGCGAACCCTGCCTCTGGGGCCTGCGGTGGAGCTCCCTATGGGGCCACGAACCGTGTGAAAGGTGCGCCAAAACGCGGGGCCGCCGTGCGAACCCTGCCACTGGGGGCTTTCGGTGGAGCTCCCCATGGGGCCACGAACCGTGTGAGGGGTGCGCCAAAATGGCGCGGGGCCGCCATGCGAACCCTGCCACTGGGGGCTTCGGTGGAGCTCCCTATGGGTCCACGAACCGTGTGAGGGGTGCGCCAAAACGCGGGGCCGCCGTGCGAACCCTGCCACTGAGGGCTTCGGTGAAGCTCCCCATGGGGCCACGAAACGCTGTATTGGATGATGATGATGCTGCTGATGATGATGCTGCTGATGATAGTGGTGATGAAGGGGGAGGAGGAGGAGGAGGAGGAGGAGGAGGAGGAGGAGGAGGAGGAGGAGGAGGAGGAGGAGGAGAAGGAGGAGGAGAAAGAGGAGGAGGAGGCGGCGGGAGGGACGCAGGGCGCTGTCTCTTCAAAACGAGGACCCGACACCACAGGATGGTTGGGAATAATTGATGCTCCATGTGTGTGTTTGAAGAATTGTTGTATTTGCTCCTCTTCGGCCGACCGACGGCCCGAGACGGCCCAACAGCGCCCAAAAATCGCCCCACGATCGCCCAAGGGGCCTCCAAGATGGCCCCAGAACGTCCAAGAGGCCCCAAGACTGTCCAAAGCGGGCCCCAAGACGGTCAAAGAGGCCCCCAAGACGCCCAAGATGGCCTCCAAGACAGCCCTGGAGCACACCAGAGGGCCCAAGTCGGCCTAGAGAGGCCCCCAAGACGGCTTCCGACGGCGTCAGACAGGCCAGGAGCCCACCAAAACGGCCAAAGAGGCACCCGAGAAGCCCCCAAAGGCCCCCAAGAGGCCCAAGGAGGCTCCCAGGAGGCCCCAAGAGTGTCCCCATAGGACTTCAAGATGCCCCCCCCCTCCTACTCCGCCTCCTCCTCCACCTCCTTCTCCGCCTCCTCCTGATCTTCCCCGCCATCCTCAGCCAAGTGGTCCCCGAAGGGGTTCCACAAAGGTTGGGGGAACACATGGTCCGATAGCTTGGCGGAGCTCTCGCCACAACGCTCGGCCACATGGGCCATTCTAGAAGTCAGGGGGCGGCGGCGATTCGCCGTAGGCGTCTTCGATAAAGAAGGCATGATCATACATTGTCAGAAGTTCGCGCGGTCCTCCGAATGATTATGCATGCGCCGCTTTCGCGGGTTAACCCGAGCCAGTGCCTCGATACGCGGGTCGCCAACGCAAAACGAAGGAAAGACGAGGACAAATCCAGGGAAACATCGGGAAAACCCAGAACTGGCGGGTCCGGTCCAGAAGATGTGTCGGGCACCGTGGCCGTCACAGAGCGTCGTGGAACGCCCTGGGACCGTTCTCGGACGCTCTCAGGGCGTTCCAGGACGCACAGGTGGTGCGCAGCGCCCGGTTCCCGTCCGACTCAACGGTTTTAGTCAGGGTCGAGCCCAGCCCGCTTTAAAGCTTGCACTCTCCTCCCTATCCTTCTACTTGACACTACCACCACCACGATCGCCAGGAAACTAAGGCGCCAGACCGCCAAAGATCTCGTCGGCGCCCTCTCCACTGAGCACCATCTTCACGCCAGACGCCCTCGCGACAGCAGCGCGCGGCGAGTTTCGAGGAGGGGAGAAGGTCATCGACGCTATGGATATCAATTCCACCTTCCTGCCGGCCCTCGTGCACCTGGGAATACCATATAGGACCTGCTCTAGAAGAGGAACATACCGTAGACGGATCTACCCTTTCTCCGACCTTGCGCCGCGCTTAACGCAACGGCCACGTTGTCCATAGACGCATCCACCCCAAAAGTGTCGATGGGCGCCACGGCACCCAATGCGTACACAGACGCTTTCGGCTGGGACGCGAGAGCGGCATTCGGCATCGGCCCCAAACTGCTGGTCTTCTAGAGGCAGGTCGCCTGGGCCCTCCAACGTGTACATGACAACTCCATCGACCGCCCAGGAACCCGAGGAACTCCATGGGGGAACCACCGCCCGCCGACTGTGGCCGCTGGGGCCGCCGGCAGCATACCCCTGCCGTCGCCGCGTGGGCCGTGATTCTCACATGGATGGCGAGGTCTAATCTGAGTCTGCGTGGGACGTCACTCCGCCCGACCCCCCAGCAGCCCTCGAAGGTGGCGAGAATTTCGCAGATCGCAGCCCCAGAGAGGTGGCGAGGTGTAGTCTGAGTCTGCGTGGGACGTCACTCCGCCCGACCCCCCAGCAGCCCTCGAACGTGGCGACAGTTTCGCAGATCGAAGCCCTCCAGGGATGGCGAGGTCTAATCTGAGTCTGGGTGGGACGTCACCTCGAAAGTGGCGACAGTTTCGCAGATCGCAGCCCCGCAGGGATGACCAGGCAGGAGGCAAGGTGGCACGCAGGAAGGAGCGAGGTAGGAGGTAGGAAAGATGAGACGAGGAGGGGGGCGGGAGGAGGCGGAGCACGCAATGCTCTATTGAAAGCGAGTGCCCAACGCAGGAGGGTTGGGAACAATACAACATGCACCTCACGGCTAAACCTAGAGCATGCGCGGTCAACCCGCGATCACTGTCAAGTGGTGGCGTATGGCCTGCTGTGCGCAGGCCCACCAGCCACAATGCTGGGCATGGGTTTTCGACATGGATGGTGGGGTCCGACATGTTTCCGAATGTGTGCTGTAGCGTGCGCAGGCGCACCTGACACACTCTGCACGTTCCCCGAACGTGGAGCACCTGGCGCGGCTGAAGTATGCGGCACACCTGCAGCACGCGGAGCACGTGGCGCTCTGGCGCAGCAGGCGTGCCTGGCACGCTCGGGCCCCAGGGGTGCCTGGCGCGCGTGGCGCGCATGGCACGCGTGACGCACCTCGCCCCAGTGTCGCGCAGCTCGGCTTTGGTTCCCAGTAGCTGTCCATCCAAAGACGACCGCTGAACATGCTGAGGATCGGGTGCTGCTTATGTGTTGGGAGGGCGGGTGGGAGTGAGCTAGACGGCTTGCTATCTGGGAGGGTGCCTTGACCCCTCCCCGTACCCCATCCTCCGGACCGGGAGGGGGGGGGGGTTCGCGAGCGATCAGCATCTAAGATGTCCCAAGACGGCTCCAAGAGGGACTCAGAGAGCCGAGAGCCCTAGATGACCTCCAAGATGGCACTATATAGCCCAACATGCCTCAGGATGGCCTCCAAAGTGCTCGAAGAAGCCCCACGACCGTTCCAAGACGGTTCAAGTGGCCACGGGGCGCCTCACGGCTGCCGCCAAGAGGCCAAAACCTTGCAAGCACCAAAAGAACATCAATGATATTTGCCCTCTCGCCTTTTTGATTTCGATGGCCATCCAAGGCCTCAAGACAGCTCCAAGAGCTCCAGAGAGCCCCAAGAGAGGCCTGAGAGAGCCCCACGACGGCCCCCATAGCGCCCCAAGAGCGCACCGAGGGGGGTCCAAGAGACAATGTTAGGCACTCTAGAGGGGAAGGCGAATTGAAGCTCCTCACTTCCGAGATGGCTCCTAGAGTCCCCAAGCCTCCCAAGAGCGTCCCAAGAGGACCCAAAGAGGCGCCAAGGCGTCAAGAGGCGTCCAAGAGGCCTCCAAGAGGCTCCCGAAATACCACCCAGAGGCCCAAAGAGGCACCCTGAGGTGGCCCCCAAAACGCCCCAATAAGCCCGCACGCTCGCCGTTGTCCTCCACCTCCACCACCTCCGACTCCACCTCCACCTCCAACTTCTCCTCCTCCGCCTCCTCCTCCTCCTCCTCCTCCTCCTCCCCCTCCTCCTCGTCCTCCTCCTCCTCCTCGTCTTCCTCCTCCTCCTCCTCATCCGCCTATTTCTCCCCATCCCTCCTTCCTCCTTCCCCTCCCCCACCTCCTCCTCCTCCTCCTCCTCCTCCTCCTCCTCCTCCTCCTCCTCCTCCTCCTCCTCCTCCTCCCCGTCGTCTCTCTCTCCCCGCCTTTCCTCATTCGGCAAATCCGCGAAGGCGCATAAGATTGAGGTTTGACAAATTCCCCAACTCCTGGTCCACTGCATGCTCCTCCGCTTCCCTGATCAAGGCACATCGCCTGGGCATCGTTCGTGGATGGGCTGATGGGAATACTTTCTAGTCAGCGGCCGCAGGCGAGCGCGCCAGCGGCGAGTCCAATCAAAGTGGGGCACGCAGCGACACATTCACCTAAAGCAACGGGGCGCAGCCTCACCTAAAGCGACTAGGCGGAGCCTCACGCAGCACCTCAGCGGCGATCCGGCGAGCGTCACACATTTATAGCCGCCCGCACCTCCTGCGAACAATTCGCAAGAGTTCTCACCTCCTGTGAACAACTCGCGAGAGTCGGGGCGCCCCGCGGGACATGTCGGAGAACTCGGGCCCCCCAAGAAAAACTCGCGAGAGTCTTGGCACCCCGCAGGCAATTCGCGAGATTCCAGGCCCGGCAATAGTTTGGCGACACTCACAACCTCCCACCAGCAATTCCGAAAAATCCAGGCCCCCCTACAACAAAAAATCGCGAGCGCCGCGGCCACGTGCAGAACGGAATAACCCCGGGACGTACCCAACCCTGTTAAGCATGTGGCGAATATACATCCAACCGCTCAATACAACAGCCATCATTGAATGATCCGCAATGCCCTTGAACGCTTCGCCAAAAAACGTCGGACAATATTCAGATGTTTTACGTATGTGGCGTCACTCTTAAGAGTCAAGTCGTTGGCAGGAGAGCGACCACGAGGGGCATGGACACGTGTGGAGGAACGATTGGAAACATAATTCGTAGGAGTAGCAGCGCCTTGCGCTGTGTCCGCATTGCAGGACAGCGCTCTGCGTGCTATGGCAGTACAGCGCCTTGCGCTAAACGTAGCATGTGCTCGCATGCATTAAAAACAACATGCAGCTGAATAAGGGGTGCGACATGGGCAACGAACAGCGCCATGCGCTATTCGCTGCGCGGCCCCCAAAAGGACGGCGAGGTCTCGTGGGGATCCGCGCAAAAAACGTCACTCCGCTGGCCCTCATAGGAGCCCACGGAAGTGGCGAGAGATTCGCAGATCGCAGCCCCCCGATGGACGGCGAGGTCTCGTGGTGATCTGCGTAGGACGTACCTCCGCTGGCCCTCCCAAAACCCGCACGCAAGTGGAGAGAGATTCGCAGATCGCAGCCCCCCAAGTGGCGACGAGGTCTCGTGGTGATCTGCGTAGGACGTACCTCCGCTGGGCCTCCCAAGAGAAACTTACGAAAGTGGCGACCCTTTCGCCGCAACCCCCAAAGGGCGACGAGGTCCCGTGGTGATCTGCGTAGGACGTGCCTCCGCTGGGCCTCACAGGAGCCCACGAAAGTGGCGACATGTTTCGCAGATCGCAGCCCCCCAGGGGGCGACGAGGTCTCGCGGTCACTGCGTAGGAAGTACCTCCGCTGGCCCTCCCAGGAGTCCTCGAACGTGGCGACCCTTTCGCAGATCGCAGCCCCCCCAGGGGGCGACGAGGTCTCGTGGTGATCTGCGTAGGACGTACCTCCGCTGGGCCTCCCAGGAGCCCACCAAAAAGGCGACCCTTTCGCCGCACCCCCCCAGAGGGCGACGAGATCTCGTGTTGATCTGCGTAGGACGTGCCTCCGCTGGGCCTCACAGGAGCCCACGAAAGTGGCGACAATTCCGCAGATCGCAGCCCCCCAGGGAACGGTGAGGTCTCGTGGTGATCTGCGTGGGACGTACCTCCGCTGGGCCTCAGAGAAGCCCACGAAAGTGGCGACAGTTTCGCAGATCACAGCCCCCCCCCCAGGGGACGGCGAAGTCTCGTGGTGATCTGCGTATGGCACACCTCCGCTGGCCCGCCCAGGAGTCCACGAACGTGGCGACCCTTTCGCAGATCGCAGCTCCTCAGGGGGCGGCGAGGTCTCGTGGTGATCTGCGTATGGCACACCTCCGCTGGGCCTCCCAAGAGAAACTTACGAAACTGGCGACCCTGTCGCCGCAACCCGGGCAACGAGGTCCCGTGGTGATCTGCGTAGGACGTGTCTCCGCTGGGCCTCACAGGAGCCCACGAAAGTGGTGACCCCTTTCGCAGATCGCAGCCCCCCAGGGGGCGACGAGGTCTCGTGGTGATCTGTGTAGGACGTACCTCAGCTGGGCCTCCCAGCAGCCTACGAAAGTGGCGACCTGTTTCGCAGATCGCAGCCTCCCAGGGGACGGCGAGGTCTCGTGGTGATCTGCGTAGAACGTACCCCCGCTGGGCCTCCCAGTAGCCCACGAAAGTGGCGACACATTCGCAGATCACAACCCCCCAGGGGGCGACGAGGTCTCGTGGTGATCTGCGTAGGACGTACCTCCGCTGGGCCTCCCAGACGCCCACGAAAATGGCGACCTGTTTCGCAAATCGCAGCCCCCCACGGGGCGACGAGGTCCTGTGGTGATCTGCGTAGGACGTGCCTCCGCTGGGCCTCCCAGGAGTCCACGAAAGTGGCGACACATTCGCAGATCGCAGCCCCCCAGGAGGCGACGAGGTCTCGTGGTGATCTGCGTAGGACGTACCTCCGCTGGGCCTCCCAGGAGCCCACCAAAGTGGCGTCCCCTTTGCAGATCGCAGCCCCCCAGGGGGCGACGAGATCTCGTGTTGATCTGCGTAGGACGTTTTCCCACCGTTGGGCCTCCCAGGAGCCCACCCCACGGAAGTGGCAACCTGTTTCGCAGATCGCAGCCCCCCAGGGGCGGCGAGGTCACGAGGCAGGGAGGAGAGAGGATGAGGGAGAATGGGGGAAGCGGGAGGAGGGGGAGGAGAAGAGGTGGATACCACAGTGCTCGATACAAAACTAGAACCCAACCAAGGGAGGGTTGGGAATAAAGCAGGAAACAATAGAGAGAGGAGGAGGAGGAGGAGGAGGAGGAGGAGGAGGAGGAGGAGGAGGAGAAGGAGGAGGAGGAGGAGGAGGAGGAGGAAGATGAGGAGGAGGAGGAGGAGGAAGGAGGTGGAGACCACAGTGCTCTATACAAAAGGAGTGCCCAATCAAGGGAGGGTTGGGAACAAGTCTTGCTACAAATTCGCAGGAGTTTCCCCCTTACAACGCGTCAAGCCCAAATCCCCTCCTCCTTTCCCATCCGCTGCTCCCTTCCGAGACCCCCCTGGGCAAATCCACCTCGGTGGAATCCCCTGAACGATCCACGAGGGATGTTCTCGAACGCCGGAGCGAAGAAAAACGTTCGAGCGACCGAAACGCCCCCAGGGCGACTCGACCACCCCAGAGAAACCACGCTTGAGACCCCGCCGAACGCGACTTCCCCCCCGACCGACATCCCCTCTGGGCGAGTCGGCTTGTCCCAGCACCTCCGAGGGCGAGCCCGACCCCCACTCGGCGGCGAGCGCGGGGGAGAAGTGATAAGGGAAAGGCCTTCTCAGGAGATTCGGAGGTCCCCCTGCCTTCTGAGAGGTTTTATAAGCCTTCCCCGAAGAGAAAGAACGCCTCTCAGAAGGCCGGACGGTTTCTGAGAAGCCCCGCCGCCTTCAGTCTGAGAAAACATCCTCCTTCTCATGACCCCCTCGCTCGCCGCCGACACACTCCCCTAGGCGAGTGGAGGTTCCTGCCAGGACAGCGCCCGCCTTTAATAAGCTCCCCCTCTCGGGGGAACTCGAGCGGGAACATGGCGCTCGCGGGGGGGCGTCGAACCCCTGGGCGATCGACAGCGGCTGAGGGTTTGGTTTTGTTGTTTTCCATAAGACACTCTTCCCAAAAAACTAACCCTGGGGCTTCGGGCCCAGCGCGCGGGCCACCCAGAAGGGACCGGAAACAGTTTAAAAGGGGGCTGGAAGGCCCAGCCAACAGCTTCGCGTCGGGCGAAGCCAAGCCCCCGCTCTGTTGTACCGTAGTAGCGATAGTCCCAGTATGAGAGAGATGCCATCTCAAGCGATAGGAAGATCCTTTTGGTCTCGATAGCGATTGTGTGTCTCCCAGTGAGGCACAGTCGTATTTGGGCGGCCGGCCGCTTGAGCCGACGCGGCCGCGGGCGCACGTTCGCTTCCACTCCTTGCGTCCCTCAGCTCGCTTTAGAGTCGGGGGGGAGGGGGGCGAAGCGTGAGCCCGTTGGCCCTATACATAGCAGCTAACATGCGCAAGGACAGAAAAAAGGAAGCGGGTCTAAAAGAAGGTGGACCCGCTAGCAAGTTGCCTCGTATGTGCGTGACGCACTCATCAGGCGGCGTCAGAACTTGATGTCTGGCCGGCCCGATATGGAGCATGTCTCTTCAGATCATGGTTGAAGGTCTGTATACCTCCCATGACTTGTAGGAGCGTTTCTCTGTCGATGCTGCCCTTGGTGTGGCCATCCGCAGTCATATCGCGGGTGGCACGCCACTGAATGCTATGCACGATTCCACGGTCCATCATGTGTCGTATCCAACTGATGTGTCCTAAAAGGCTGCATTCGGTCGGCTTCTTCAAGTCTTTGCTTGGCAAGGACTTAAAAACCGACTCAGCATCGATGGTCAAAGTGACCTTGATGCTCAGGCCACCCAACTCCAGTCTATCTTTCAACTGAGTTGGCGTGAGCGGCCCTGCGCGGAGCTCGTGCAGAGTCACAGCCGTGGGATAACAGTCCTCCAAATTACGGGCTGCTGCTAGTCTCTGCTGAATAGCTCGAGCGGACCTGCAAGCGGTGAGACTTGCAGCGCGCATCGATCAAGTGAAAGACAGGTTTGCCGGATGACGTGTTTCCACGTCGTAGCAGGTTTGCCCCGCGAAAACCATGGCCTTTGACGTCGTCATCGGCGTCTCCGCTCAGGCGTCGATATCCTGAATCGCTGTGTAGGTCAACCTCGCCCGTGGGATTCATCGCCTGGTAGGCGATCTTCTTCGGGCAGGCCTGTAGCTTTCTGGTGATCGCGCGCAGTCGTCGTGCTTGAATGTTGGTCGGTTCTTGGACGCGTTGTAGAGATGCAACATACACCAGCAACCGCACCTGGGTGATTAATGCGTATGCCAGCGCACCCCTGAGGCTGACGAACATCTCTGCCACCATCTTGGTTGCCTAAGCGACAGCGTCAGCGCCGGTTACTTCGGGATGTTGTATGGGACAGACCTGTTTGATATATTCATCTTGATCCAAAATGACATTGCCGTCCTCGTCCTGGTGCATCTCACGGCACAGTTGGTACATGTGTGCTTGTTGAGTTTACACTTATCAAAAATATCTTCAATGCCTTTGACATACTTGTCAATGGCGTCCTCAGCACTGGCCATCTTGATGTCATCAACATACTTGGCGGTGAGCAAGTAGTTGCTCGTCTCGAACTCCTCGTCGTAGGACGTGAGTCGGAAATCAAATGCTCTGGTGGCCCTCCTGAGCTTAAGTGAGAAAGCCCGTGGAGCGTCATTGGTGCCTGTGCCTGGTTTCAAGCGCTGTAGGCAGTGCGTTGACTCGTCGAAGTGCTCGAATCCTGAGAAGGTTCCGTGCGCCGTGGCCGATCCAGGCGGCAAAGGAAAACGCGCCACACGTCCCTTTTCACCAGTCGCCTCAGCAAGTTCCTGAAAGGCCAAAGCTCTCAGAAAAGCCATGTTGATGTCGAGGGAAGCAATGGCCCACTGCTTCTTGCACGCTGTCGCACTAGCGAGTAACCTCTGGCTTGGTCACCTCGCCGTGCCCGAACATGTTTCTACGTCGAAGGCTTCGAGGTCCATGAATCCTCGGAGATCCAATCGTAGTCGGATGGTACGTTCCATCTCGCCCTTCTCGCTCTTCGCGAACTTCCATGTGCACACGTATCTCGAAGTCAGGGTGTTCGACGCGTTGGGTATCTCCTGCATCTTAAAACATGTGTTGTCGAACCATGTCCTGAGTTCAGTGTAGAGGGCCTTCGATACTTTATCGAGATTCGCCTGAATGTCAGCTTTAATGAAAAGAGATCGTCTTCCTCGACGACTACAGCTCGCTTTGCGGCGGCGGTAACGTATACTCGCATAGTGGCCACCCGGTCAGCATCTAATATCATATGTTGTTGCTCGGACAATTTA